TAACAAGATGGATCTTCTGCTTCCTCACCTCGACGAGCTCCTGCCAGCTGTGCTTGGTGACACCAAAATCAAGCCAGAGCTCATTCGCGAGGTACAAATGGGCCCATTCAAACACAAAGTGGACGATGGGCTCGATTTGCGAAAGGTCAGTGTCTCTTATCATTCCCATAGATGCCCACTGACATTATTATTTACAGAGTGCATACGAAACCCTCTACGCTTCGCTCGACACGTCGTTTTCCCGTACCCACATGAACGAATTCTTTGACCGCATTGTTGCCGGTATCGACGACGAACAAGATATTCGTGCAATTAGCAATCTCATGATATCCAAACTGATTAAGATCGCACCGGAGGACACCGAGCGGCGGCTGGACGATTTGTCGGAGCATTACACCTCTGTACTTTCCTTCAAGCCAAAGGAGAACGCCGTCAAACAAGAGTTAGAGAAAGCCCAAGAGGCATCCCTCGGCATTCTGAAGATTACCAGAGAATTGAGCAAGGCGTTCCCCGGTGCGGAGGCATCAGGGGATCTTCACAAGTGGAAGACATACATGGAGTGGGTTCGGCGGACGTTTTCCCCACAGATGACCACTTTGGAACTGGACTCCTAAACTTGAAACAATGGACCTCAAATCCTGGATAGTTTCAGTGATTCTTTGCGATGACTTTGCGATGAAAAGTGCAACGACCCATTTGTCGCAATTAAGATAGCTTACGACATAACACAATGAAATACATGATCTTAATATTGCTTCGCTTAGGATCTTAGCTTTGTAAAGATAAAAGCACAACCCTTGTCCAGTGCCGTCAACCTAGATTTATCCCGACTCTATAGCAGAGTTTTCTCCGGTCGCAGGAAATATTCACCTTGAGCACCTTCAAAGATCTTGATCCAGTCCCCTTCCTGTACAGTCTCCCATCATTGTCCAATCGATAATCCAGTTACTTGCTAAGAAAACAGTCACTTCTCTCTCTTTCACGCCTCCTCCTTGATCGGAGTCATATCAGGTGTAAGCTCTCCGGGAAAAGGCTTGCGCGCCCACACACGTCGTCTAGACAAGGATCAGCATGTCAATCCCTCGATACCACACAGGATTAGTCCAAACTCACGCTTTCTGATAAAGATGATATCTTGGATTCTTAATCTCCGACCGAACCTTGGCCAAATAAACAGTAACCTCATCCTTCGACCAAGGATGCGGCGCACCGAAATGGGTAAGCAACCACATACACCAACCCTCCATACCAGAAAGCCAATGGTGGTAATTAACCACACCGGCCTCTTTAAATTTCTGATCGCGAGCCCATGGCCCAATCGGCCACAAGTATGTCTTCTCCTGGAAATCCACAAACCCGGCCTTTTCCATCATGCTGCGCATGGTATCAAGAGTGTCTATCGGACGTCCTGCGCGTGCGCCGCACCCGCTCATCGTCTCTCCCCAGCTTCGCAGTATACTATCTGCCGGCAGGCTGTCATCGTCACATTGAATGAAGGGACTACCTTCGAGTTGTTCGATCCAGCCTCCTGGTCGAAGGTTTCTATGAGAGACACCCCGGTGTTAGTTCACATGGTTGCGGGTATGGATAGGAGCGGGAGAATTGGTTGGTTTACTTAAAGGCGCTTGTGTAGACGTGATCCCACCCGGCGGGATCGAACGAACCGATCATAACCCGCATGTGGATTAGGTCATGGGGCTCTCTCCACGTCCATTCTTCTAGGACGTTGTCGACTTCAAGGATGCAGTTGGGTGGCATCCACGTCACGGGAGGTGGGAAGAGGTCGACTCCTCGGACAGTTGCTAGATAGTGTTAGATTATTTTGGAACTTTCCAGGGGTATTATCATGACGCTCACCAGATGGGAACATGTCAGCAACATCGCTATATAAGTGTTTGGTAAGTCCTGTCTGTTACGGATTACGGATGAGGGATTTCTCTTCCGACATACATAGCCCAGTCACCCTTGCCCGTTCCAATGTCAAGGATATGCTTAGGGTTCTTTCCCACAGGTGCTCTAAAGAACGGGTTTTCTCGGTCCGAATCTAACACCATAGCGAGCAAATGGCTAACAGTATTAGAGGTAATGATACCTAGAAAGGTTGGTCGTACGCACCCAGCTTCGTAGGACTCAAATGCCTGGTCATCGGACGGAATCCTGGTGAGAATCGAGTATGAGTTCGCAGCTCCTTTCGTGACAAATGCAATGACATGCATACAAATATTCTTTGTTGCTCAGCGTTTGATACCTGCGGAGAATAAGTACGCCACGGACCAAGCTGGATGTAACTAATACACTATGAAATCATACCGTCTGCCATTTTCCATCAGGCCATGATAGATTGAGGAACCGATAGATGTTGTCTCTCTATTTAATATCATGTTAGATACCAATGATTCGAAAGAGCGGGGGAAGTGTGAGTGTTTACGACTGCCAGTCATCGCCATAATTTGTTAGATAGATATCCGTATCCTATAACTTGTTAGACCTGCGAGGAGAAGTAATGGATCCACATACCACTGCAATCTGTGGTGATCTCGCCATAATTCGATATTTGGCCCTTTGGGATGATAGGAAAGAGGGCAAAGGAGGAGGTTTAAGGGGCTGTTAGAATGTACATCGGTACCAATGTTCAACGGTTTTCACCCGGTGTGCCGCAATACTGAAGCAGCTACAATGGCTAGGATTGGGTGAGGAGACACAAGCGCCTTCTGATGCTCCACGGTTAAAGCCCGAAGGGGGTTGGTGCAGTATTAGCCACGTTGTGCGGAGGTTCCCGTCGACGATCACTGGACTGACGTTGACAAGGGGCCAAGGATGCACGTACGCCGAGATTCTTTATCCTTGTCTTATCCATCTCTATGATACTACACTTTTCATTCACCCTAAATGCCCCTGGAATTGTGCCTTGGATAATTCAGTTTCACCGAAAAAAAATTGGATAGAAATGAATCCATTGTTCTATTGTAGCTATCCTAGATAACAGTATGCATCTTGACTGATATATTTCCTATATTTATAAAATTGACCGCGAGTTTCCTTTCTTAAGAGTATATCAATCATGGATAGATGGAAGTGCGTGTTATAGCCGGCAGTTAGACTTGAGGGGCTATAGTTGTATATGTTCAGTAGCTAACGTATTTCGCATGCGAGCCACCACAAGCGAGCGGCCATCTCCAAAACACATAGCAATTGCGACAAATTATAGCTTCATATTTCAACCACCACCACGTAATTTAATTTCCGATGTTACTAGATAGGCATTGATAAAAATGTAGCATATAGCAATCTCAACGCAATCGAAGGCTTATATTGTTGTCGTATCAAAAAATACATCACTGAACTCTGAAATATCTATATCTTTCTATCACTGATTTATTGAATTCCCCCAACTCTGCATAATAGCTAGATACCATATAAAAAGCATTAAGCCACAAGGAAAAGTTCATATAGACAACCGTTGTTGCAATATCTAATTGTAATTTGTTGCATTTATTATGTGTTTTGGAGATGGCGGCTCGCTTGTGGCGCTTCGCATGTGAAGCAGTTAACTAGCGCACGTTTGCCTTATTGCCTCAGACAGAGATGACCCTTGGCTGCCTTCCCCTTCCGGAGTGGGAAGTGGGGACGTAGCACCTCACCTTCTTCATATTCCATACTAAAACATGTCAGCTATGTATAACATGGTATATTGACCTTTCAAGGTGTTAAACAACGAGGTTCGTTACGCTGTCCCGCTTATCCTATATTCTGCCGTCAAACCGTATAGCGAAATATGGGACCTTATAATAAAATCTAAATATGATGATCATACCGATGCTTCTGACAATATATCGACCTCTCTATATATAATCATGGCGGAGATGGTGGACATACGTAGGAGCACACTATTATTATTCACCATCAAAACTATGATTGGCGGGAGCCTTGGCTGTCTAAGTGGACATCGGGCAATTGGTACTCCGTATTGCTTTTAAAATTAGATTCTGTTCCCACATTGTTTTTTTCGTTCCTCTTTCAGGTAATGACTTTTGACCTGGATTGGAGCATCCCCGCAAAATTTATTCCATATGGTAACCCGGCAATCTTGATGATCCTGGTCCTACTAGTTTGCCTGGGCGAGGAATATGATTGGATGCAATAATAAATTGAACGCGAGTTTAAGTTATTAGAAAAATATTACACTCAAAGACCTACATAATAGTTAGTACACGGAGTATAGGAACCCGAGATATCTGCCATTTTCAAAGGTTCTCGGGGGCCTTACTCGAGACTCGCACGTTCTGGGCATATTGTTGTCTCTTTAAAGTTTCGAGTGCTATTATAGCAACATACAACCCGTATATTCAGGGGCTATGTCAGCGGGGAAGCGCCCCAGATTCAAACCCTTACGGGGCTCAGCCTCCGGAAATTAGCTCTATTGGGGCTGAAGGCCTGCTGTAAGCGAGACATGGCAAAAGTGGAGATATTTGCCGGATGGTGTTCAGCATAATTGGCTATATTGTATACGAGTAATACGGGCGAGCACTGGCCTCCTGTCAATGTCAGCTCATATGGCACGCCTGTATCCTCAGATTTGAAAGCAAGTAATCAGATGTCCTAGTATACATACAAACATATGTCCAGTCGCTGTACTACCAGTATTAGGATGTTGACGGAAGTAATTTTGAAAAGATATTTTTAGGCATATTTTAACTTTTAGTTTATGGTTTTTCTTCATGGTTGCCTGTTTGGTGTGCGGTTAAGCGTTTTCAGATGAAGTATGATTGGTCCTTTCCAAGATTCAGACAATAGCAATGACCAAAAGAGAAACAGCTCTAAATCTACCCTGAATGGTTGTATTTTTCGTTTATTTTTCAGTTTTTAATCTATTCCCTTCTAAGCCGAAGTGTTTTTAGATACCAAAAGTTCTTTAATTTTCTTGAAAATTCCCCTATTCTATCTCTCTTCTCTTCCTTATATCCCTATCTGACATTTCATGAGATTGAATTAAAAAAAAAATGGGGTTTGGGTTTAGGACCCAATATGGCTGCAATCTACGAAAAGCCATCTCCCCAACCTTTTGGTTCGATCATTGCTGGCCAGCCTCAAGCAAGTACTGGTTCTCTCTGTTGTTCATCGCCGTCATCTGCGCCAAATGTTTACATATCTACTCGCATCTGAACTCGTTACCTCTCGGACAATTGATGATCTGGGGTCCGACATTCTTTTTGCAAGATGTAGTGTGTATCATGCTCACCCACAGCCTATGTGTTGATTATCAGCGCCGTTGGACGCGTGTCATAGCAGCCTTGTTGGTGATACCAGCTAGGTATGAGTTCCTACCACGTTCAGTGAGACCATTGCTGAGTGAATTACTTTAATAGTTTGGCAATCTCCGGTCTGTCAGCCGCCAACATCTCGTTCTACGTCGCAACTGGAGCCGAGATCCGCTGGAAAAAAGCGCGAAACTTCCACGGCGACAAGGCTGGCATCAAAACGCTGCTCACCGGATTAGTGGGTTTATTCATTGTTGAGATCGCTTTTGCTGCCGCATCCTGGTTATCAACACCGCATCTACATAACTGGACCAAGGTAGCTGTGACAATCTTTAAGGGTGTTCTGCCGTCTGCCTGTCGCAGGAAACCAACCCCAATCTTGAAAAGCTATGAGCGGGTCGCGCCCGAGGACTGGGATGAGGATCGAAGTGCTGTTGGGTTGAGCTCGGATTTGCAGGAAATAACCCAAGATAAGGCGAACAAGGAATCCCGGCCCTCTCTTTGGCTGCGAATCTTCGTTGTCGCGTTGACTGGCCTGGTGGTGACTTTGCGTTGCATTCGTCCCTCCAATGATGCCTATAACTTCCTATCCGAGACTGTCATTGTCACGCCGTTTGACAGGGATCAGTCTAGTGCTCAACCATCAGTGAATCTACCCGTATTGACAGGTGATTACACATGGTTGGGCAATCACACAGCCCTGGCAGCACCTCCCAAATTTGACTGGCTGCCACACGATAAACTGGCCGGGTTCAGTGACTGGTATGAAAATGCAAACCACACTGCGCGTGTGCATTACAACCCAGGACATGATCCAATCCATATCTCCAACCTTGAAAACGATGTTCTCGAGCCTCTCCGCGAAGCCCTGCAGAGCGGCAGTGTCAACATCAAGCACGTGTTGCTTCTCAAGCTAGAAAGCACTCGTGCAGATGTCTTCCCACTTCGCAAGGAATCCTGGTTTGGGGACATGATTCGCGAATCATACAATGACCAACTTCCTTCTGAAGTTGAGGAAAGACTGGGCAACCTAACACCCACTGCAGAGAGACTCACAGCTACTTCTTCTGGGTTCAATGGAAACAATACTGTAGCCAAGCCCTATGGCGGATTCCATGCCACTGACGCCCATACGGCCGGTACCTTTACTCTGAAGAGTATCCTGGCAACTGTGTGCGGTATTGATCCCTTGGTCATGGACTTCAATCGCGAATACCTGCATCATATTTACCAACCATGCATGCCACATGTCTTGGAGGCACTCAACGCTCAGGCCAACCAGACGGGGATTATCAACAAAACGGAGGACTATACCTCTTGGCCATGGCGATCCACATGGATGCAGTCCATCACTGACGACTACGACAACCAAGATCATCTCACACCCGCGCTGGGCTTTAAACACAAAGTAACTGACATCAACATTTCCGAGGACCGAGCAAAGCTGGGTGGCCCTCAACCAAAGAAGTACAACTTCTGGGGATACCCTGAAACAGAGCTTGCGGATTATTACCGGAATGCAATCATTTCGGCAGAGAATCAGAAGGAACGACTATTCATCTCGCACTTGACCGGCATTACGCATCACCCTTGGGATACACCCAACGGAAAGTACGAGGAAATGATTAGCCACGGCTGGTTGGGAAAGAAGAACAAAGTAAATCGCTACCTCAATACGCTTGGTGTTGTAGACAAATGGCTCGCCGAGTTGCTGAACATCCTGGAGGAAACGGGTGTTGCCAACGAGACTCTGGTTGTGATGGTGGGAGATCAGTAAGTGCCAGACCCCAACACTACTATCCTACCAATTGAATCTAACCTCCGATAGTGGCGTTTCGCTCCCCGAGAACAGCGGTGTTACCCCATATTTCAACCCCCATATCGTCAGCTTCCACGTCCCTTTAGTCTTTGCCCACCCTCAACTGCCACCCATCGAGATCAACTCTCGAGTAACTTCATTACAAATCCTCCCCACGATTCTTGATATTCTATCGGAATCCGGATCCCTCGACAAGCAAGCCAAATCCGTCATCGAAGATCTTCTGCCACTGTACGAAGGTCAATCAATGATCCGACCTGCAATCCCAGAAAAGGACGGAAAGCAAGACTGGCAGTTCTCAGTCATGAATCCTGGAGGAACGTGGGTTGCCATGCGGTCTGCTGCAAAGCCATACCGCCTCATCGTCCCACTATACCCTGACGTCGAGTGGCGGTTCTCGAATGTAGAGAGCGACCCCCAGGAGCTTCAGCCACTACAGGATTTTAATCTTCTGAATCTGATGGATATGGTCTTGCCCAAGCATGGAGATGATGCTGTACAGTGGATTAACGACGCGGCCCACGTGGCGAAGTGGTGGGTTGAGGAAAATTGGCGGCGCTATGAATATGTGCCGTGATCCTTGCAATCTCGACTTCGTGATCCCTATACAAGTGATGGTGTTTGGGCTGTGAACACGTATTCAGTCGAAAAGTATACCGAGAAAGAGAGCAACATTTGTCTCAGACCCTCGGACATGATACTTGGGGTGGCCCAACTTGGCCCAATATGATGCCCCATGTACCTACCCTACCCCTATCAAGGAACGTGAGAGGAGTGACCCTGCTCTTGAGTATTCTCGTACCCTGTGAGCCCAGAATGGAGCGGAACTCCCTGGGGATTTCCTCTTGATCGTCATTATCTGCAATCATTGTCAGGAAGAACACATAACGAACCCTACATCCGATCTATCTCATTTACAGGTTGTGACGATAGTGTACATCTACAAGCTAATCATGTATTATAATTTGAACCTCGATTTCCATGTCCCTAGCTATCTGCATAAACAGCATTCCATAGTCCATAAACAGTGGAGATTTTTCTTTTCACTGTAAGACAAATTGTAAACATTATAGTGTAAAGGGATCGAACAGCTCATACGTATTCTAAGAGTGCACTCTCAAGAGATCTTTAGGAACATGTCCACCAAAATTGAGGAATTGATCTTCGTCAGCTCATGAGCAGTTTTCCCCTCCGATGGAACCCACAGAGCCTCGCACCTGCCTAGCATGGACAGTTCCTTGAATTGATGGCTAATGGAAAACAAGGTAATGATCTTATGGACACATCTATGTCTCGTCTATATATTGGACATTGGAGTTAAATACACTCTAACTATTTCAATATCCGTACGAGGACTCTACCAAATTGACGGTAATTCTCCATTTGCAAGTCGCGAGAGCCTTTCGTCGCTGAACTGGAAACATTCCGGGAGTCCTGTTTCATCCCAGGTCTTGCCAAGTACAAGTTGGGCAACTGCCGGAGCGCAGGTAAATATCCGAGCCATACCTGTTTCCAACGTCAGCGTGTCAAATTTCAGGATATACTCAAAAGAAAAAAAACCCACCATGGCCATTAAATCCGGCACAAATATACTGCCCAGGGAGGGAACAAATCGCCCCGACGAACGGAACAGAGTCTGTAGTCATGGCAATTATTCCAGTCCAGGCATGATCCAGACCCTCACCGTGCATGGCAGGCTGGGACGAATAAGCCGGAAACATTTTACCAAAAGACTGCAGAGCATCCTGGGCAATCTCTTCATTGTACCGGGAATCGTCAGTGCTGAATCGACCAGCCGTTGTCTCGGGGCTCAATGTTGGGTTTGATCGCGATACCCCTAACACCAGTGTACCATCTCCCTGACGTTGGATCAGGGAGTAAAAGTGCAGGAGGCTGAAGCGGAGCGAGAAAGTGTTCTGCAGAGCCTTTTGCCCGGAGAAGGCAGGGACAGGTATGAGAGAGTGGGCCTGTGCACGGTTTGGCCGAATATACGCCTCCAACTGCGGAAGTAGCAAGGCTGCATGGGCATTCGTGCAGTGAATGATTTTCTCCGCTTCTATTATTCCCCGGGGCGTGTGCACCTTCCATGTTTCTGAGGCGCTCCGTTCAATCTCAGTGGCAGGACAAAAGGTGAAGAGCTTCGCACCCTTCGAGATCACTGCCTGAAGAAGGAACTGTGCAAGCTTTGCCGGGTGGCTCGATCCGGCTGGCCACTCATATGCTGCCACAGCCCCGGGAACCCTCGTCTTTTGCTTGGCCTGGTCTCCTTCATAGAATGTGATGTGCGAAGTATCACCGCCTGCTTTCTTAAACGCTTCCAGGCTTTCTGCCTCGTACGCCGCGAATTCTGGGGTCATGCAAACATCAAACGTCGTGGTCAAGTTGAAGTCGCATTTCACATTATGTTCTTTCACAAATGCATCGACTCTTTCTAGGACAAGTCGCTCATCCTGGATGATCTTTAATGCTTGTTGCTCTCCATGCACTTTGGCATATGCACTGAAACCCCTAAAGGCATCTATTTTCTAAATCAGAAACGCTCACAATAATCCCAATAGTCCGACAGACCTGGTCGCACATGTCCGGCATTTCGTGAGCTCGCACCACTTGCGGCCTCTCGTGCTTCGAGAATCACGATATCCTCAGGCTTAGCCCCTCCTTCGATCAGCTTGAAGGCCGTCAGACCGCCAGAAATACCCGATCCCACCACGACATATTTCGAGTTTGATGGAACGGGTGTATCGCCGTTCGCGTCCAAATTCGGATATGCCCGAGTTGTTCGCTGCCAGTAACTCAAGCAAGGGGTGGGATTTGGCAGGCTTCGGCTACTCTCAACTTTTGAAGCCATCATTCCAGATTGGGCATTTATGAGTCAAGGTATCTGCAAATACGTGGACATATATAAGAAAGAGGCTCGTATTCGTCGCTGGGTACATGGGATGCGGGGAAATGCATTTTCCTATCGCAGACTTTCCCCTCGAATCCTTCTCAAAGGATCCCGAGGTTAAGCTGAGACGTGAGTTGGCTAAAATGTCTATCTACGAAATGTATATCAGCAACTTCGGCATCCTTCCGGTATGACCCCAACGGATACAGCCATTGGTGCTTCTCATTCTTATCACGCGACCTTGCAGAATCCCTCGGATCTGCAATCCGACACCTACCCCAGACACTATCTGACCTATCTGTGAGGGGTGGTCTTATCCGAGCTCGGGCCTGTATGGCCTATATGAACGGCTAACGTCGCTGGAATACTTTTTCTTTTCCCTCTCACCATAATCATGGTGACCTTCAAAATGTTTCGTCCCAATGCGCCGGCAAACGTCGATGTCCGATCTCCAGAGGAGAAGGCGTTGGTCCGACGCCTGGACATGTTCCTAATGACTTTCGGTTGTCTTTCACAGGGTTGGGCTACAGATCCCCCCCCCCCAGCTTGAGATCAGCAAAACTGACTTTTGTCAGTTATCAAATATCTCGATCAACAGAATATCAACAATGCCTACGTATCTGGCATGAAGGAGGATTTAAACCTGTTTGGAAATGAGCTTAATCTGTGGGTTGCCCCGAAACATTTATATACCGCAGAATTGGTGATGGCTGATGCGGTCTAGATTCACAACATACTTCAACGTTGCCTACTGCATAATGCTAATTCCCTCTCAAATTATCCTCACCTACGTACGCCCAAGTTTTTGGCTCCCGGGCTTGGAGATTGCATGGGGTGTGTTGACCGGATTGATTGCGATGACAACGAGCGCGAAACAAGTCTATGTTCTCCGTGTGTTCCTCGGTCTATGCGAAAGTAGCGCTTGGCCAGGAATGATGACATTATTTAGTATGTCCTTCGAAAGCCCTTTCCCTAACCCACCGAATCAAAATTAACCGACCCTCTAGTGTACTGGTATACCCCGACCGAACTGGCCAAGCGAATGGGATTCTACCACTCTTGCCAAGCGGTCGGCCAAATGCTCTCAGGCGCCATGCAAGCTGCAATCACCGACACTCTCGAGGGACACAAAGGACTCGCAGGATGGCGCTGGCTATTTGTGATCAACGCCATCATCACGGTAGTCTGGGGATTCGCAGGATTTTTCATGCTCCCCGATCTACCGAACCGACCTAACCCACGTGCATTTTGGTTCAAGAAAGTCCACGGCGAGCTGTCGCTAGAACGACTCGCGCGTAACGGCCGAGCCGAGCCGAAGAAGATGACCTGGGCGGGCGTGAAGCGCACGTTCTCGGGATGGGTTGTTTACTTCATTGCGATTCTGTACATCGCAACGGTTCTTGGAACATACGGATATGTTTATTTCGGGTTATTCCTGAAATCGCTAAAGAACCCAGATGAGAGCCCGAGATGGACTGTCACGCAGGTCAATGCTATCCCTATCGGAGGATCTGCGATCAACGTCGTGTTCGTCTGGATATGGGCTCTGCTATCTGATTACTTTGAAACGCGTTGGACACTCATCGTTACTCAAGCGGTTATTGGAATTATCCCATGTATTATCATGAGCATCTGGACTACACATTCGGCGTCCGTGGCTTTATCTGCTGCTTATGCGTCATACTTCATCTCCTATATTTGTCTCGGCACGGCACCGCTGATCTTCGCCTGGCTCTCTGATCTTATCCCGCAGGACCCAGAGGCACGCTCTCTTGTTGTCGGCGTTGCTGTTGCTGGGTACTATGCCATCTCTTCGTGGTCGCAAGTTCTTGTCTGGCCCGCGAGGCAAGCACCATTCTATAAATACGGATGGCAGTCTGGCTTGGCCTTGTTGGTCCTTGTCATTATCATGACCAGCATTCTGAGATTTGTGGATGTGCGGTACCTCTTACCAAAGCGCGAGGAATTCCGCGCTGTGTTGGAAGAAGATATCATTGCGAGTAAAGGTGCTGGTGCTGGTCCGTCAGTGTCTCCTAATCAGATCGAAGGCGAGGATCGGATAGATGGAAGCTCCAAGGTATCTCCCGCATCGAATGTGCGTGAAGTGTAGCCATTGGGGCTCTAATCGAGCTTATGTTTATGCCGTATTGATTTCCCTGTCTTGATAATATTGCATTCTAGCTTACTCTACTGATTTACCTTTGATACCCAGCGAGCTAACTGTCTTTATAATATTCAATCTCTGGTTCATCAATTAAAGCACAGTGGATGTCTATTAGTAAAAACTAAGCAAATAGCCGTAGTATATCCACAGTAAAATACATGACCGAAGGCACATGTCAAGCTAGAAGAATAAAAAAATATATCCTCGTCATCATCTCCGGATTCGTATTGACAGCATCCAATATCCTATCAAGCCATCGATGGAGATAACTAGTAGTAGAGAGGATTCTCAGGGTCAGTAAGATCAAAGATCACACTAGAGTGAGGCTTAGCACCACCGCGATTGGCAAACTCCTTGCTGAAGTCAATAGTGCGATTGAAAGAAAGGCTGCCATCCTCGTTGAGGTCGATGTAGAGCGCCTTGAAGTCAGCCGGGGTGTTGATGATACCAATGTCGCCAGTCTGGACGAAGTAGTCGGTGACGACCACGTGCTTCTGATCAGGTGTGACCTTAATATAGTGAGGTCCGACGGTAGGTTGGTCCTCATCGGGGTCATCCAAACGCTTGATGTTGTCGAGGTCGCTGATGTCTAGCGCAGCAATGTGGTTGGCTGTGGTAAGGGTGGCATAGAAGTATTTACCGTCCTGGCTGATGTCGGAGCTGTGGAGATGTTAGCAATGATGGTCTTGATGCGACACACAGCGGGTAAATACTTACTAGATGGCAACTGTGTCACGAGCCTTGGGACCAAGATCATAGAGTTGCTCAATCACACCCTGGTTGCCGTGGGCGTCCTTTCGCAGAGGGTAAATGACCCAGAGTTGACCAAGGTGCACGGCAGTGGCGATAGCAGCGGATTCCGGGTGTCCGGGAATGAACTTGACATCTTGGATACCACCACCCTGATTGAGTTAGAAAAATGCATGCCAATTAGTTCTCGGGGGCTGGCTTACATTGGGAATGGTAAGAGTGCTGAGGATCTTTCTGGAATCCAGATCCCAGAGGCGCAGTGTATCGGCATGGCGCACTCCAAGACTAGGCTTCAAGATACTAATCGGCTCGACAAAGTCCGAAGTCAGAATGAGCTTTTTCTTCCAGTCAATAGCGAGTCCATGAGGAGAGAACTGCTGTTCCAGGATGTTGAGTGTGCCCTCCACATCCTCAGGCCATTCGTGAATGATGTTGAAATCGGCATCAGTCTCGATGAGACGACCAGGCGCAGTGCCAACGGCCGAGCCCATATAGGTGATGAAGAATCCACCATCTGGCTTTGCCCGGACCTCATCCGCAATGGATGCAAGGATACCGCGGTTACTCTTCAGGAACTTGGGACGGTAAGGGTTAGAGGTATCGAAGTAGAACCCAGTATCCTAATGAGGTATTAGAGCTGTTGTGAGAAGTTTGTTGAAAGAAGTATACATACTTGCGTCTTCAAGAGAGATAGCAGTCCACCACCCCAGATGGTCTTTCCATCCAGAGACGGGCCCAGGTGGTGAGGGTCATTGCCGCTGCTAGGCACATCGGTGACCCACAGAAGGGTGCCAAAGGTGTCCTAAAATCGAATGAGCAAACAGGTTCAATACATTCTCTGTTAGACTTAGGGTTGACCTACATCATCCAAGCTGTAGGTAGCAAGGAAATCTACAAATGATAGTCAGTATCATCTCTCGACGATCCACCATTCGTAGATCCATACCTTTATGGAACTTGTCTGCCGAGCCAGTCCAGAAATAACCAATCTTCTTTGGCTTGATATCACTCGGGGTGAAGGGAGGGCTCTCCAGTGGAGGAGTAGGGACTTGCAAAATAGGCAAAGGAGGAACGATGGTCGTCAGAGGCTCGGTCACTCCAGGAATGAGAGGAATGAGAGGAGGCAAAGAAAGACACTCCCCGAGGGTGATCAGAGACGCAATAGAAGCAATAGAGTACTTCATCTTGGTGAGGAAGATTGAGCAGGATTGCGTTGGTTTGGTGAGCATATTTGCGGGAAATATCTAGAACTTATATACCCGAGTGCGTCTTCATCTCGTCTCGAATGAAGCATTGTCTTTCTCTTCCCCTAAATTATCTCGACAACAACAACGCAGAGCACGCAAGAAAGTTACACTTTGTGTTCGTATGATATTCCAAATTCTTCGAGATGCCGATCTGCGAAATGGCGAATTTCATCCCTCAGCGCCGATGTGACAAGCCAGACAACCGACTCGGAATTTGAGATGGACCCATTGTCCCCGTATTCAGGCTTGCTTTTTCCTGTAAAGTTGAGTTGTAGGGGTTCCTCCTAATGTTAAGATGTCGTGATTGAAGTTAATCCAAAGTCTCAAGAGGGAACGTGAAATCAATAGTTTGAACCCAAAGATGCATCTCTAGCACGCGCAAGTATACACTAGTGCCTCGACCTGGCTATGACCGGCAGTGATATGTGGACGAACTGGTGGAACTAGGGCTCAGGGAAACCACGATGTCCAAAATAGGAAAGGCCCAAGAACTCTCGCAGATCGCCATATCCACCTTCGACACAAGCAAGGCACGGGATCAAGGTCTGGAGGCCAAAGCAGAGCTCAAGTACTGATAATGTATATGGACTCAGAACAAAGAGGTGAACGTAGATGATCTGCGCATGCCAAGAAATGGATCTATGTACTCATCGCAGGTACCGATGAGGTGATTCAGGGTCGACCTTCAACCCGAAACCTGTCAGGTCCCTGGATCCGCATTTTTCATTTCCCCATGGAGACCACGAGCACGGTCCAGCCTGCACCGATTTCGACATGATGCCAAGAATGTTGTTATATCTCTCTCTTTCATTAGGATCAACGTCACAAAGCCACGAAATAGATTGGAACTAGCGAGATTCCCAGGCTTATCCTCCGTCGGGGTTTGGATTCTCGGATTTAGAGGGGATGGGCTAGTGTGGAAATGTCATATATAACTGGGATGACTGCAGGGGATTCGGCTGGAGATAACCCAAGTCCACATCCTATTCTTCTGCACATTCCCTTTCTTGCCTTGAAATGAAGTCCCAAAGTCTCGCGCTCTTTGGGCTATTTGTTTCCTCTGCCTTTGCAGTACCTCGCACTAAGAGGCAGGATGGTGGCAATGACCAGCCGATTAGCGGTGGCAAAGGAGCCCCGATTCTAGGTAGGTCCAAGGTCGGAGGATGGGAATATTGGTCCATCGGGACCATTTAATGTATGCTCACAACTCTTTTTAAATAGGTGGAACAAATAGAGCCATCGACCTTCAAAACCCGGATCAATTCCGCACTTCCAGTACCGATCATGGCTTTGTGCCCAATGTCAAGTGGAGTTTCTCTGAGTCTCAGACTCGGCTGTTCCCAGGGGGCTGGTCTCGGGAGCAGGTCATTCAAGACTTACCCCAGAGCCATGACATTGCAGGAGCCCAGCAACATCTGAAAAAGGGCGCTATCCGCGAACTGCACTGGCACCGCGTGGTTAGTCCTCGCACCTGTACACCTTCTATGGCATTTCACTTACTCTACTATCCAGGCCGAGTGGGGATTCGTCTACAATGGCTCCCTCCTGTTGTCTGGTGTTGATGAAAATGGTGGCTTTACTACCGAGGTTCTTGAAACGGGTGATATATGGTATTTCCCCAAGGGTGTAGCGCATAATGTTCAGGGTCTGGACGACGAGAACGAGTACCTCCTTGCTTTTGATGATGGTGACTTTGAGAAAATTGGGTATGTTCCATTCACACCTTCATACACTCAACATACTGACCAAGAAGAACTACCTTCATGGTCGACGACTGGATTGCCCATACCCCCAGAGATGTTCTCGCCAAGAACTTCGGTGTTGATCCTAAGGTCTTTGACTCGGTTCCTACAACTTTCCCTTATATCCTCAACGGCACTGTTAGCAAAGAGGTTGACAATGCTCCTATTGGAACGCTGAGAGGCGATGATTCCTATGTCTACCACACTTACAAACACCCCTCGGAGCCTGTCCCTGGTCACGGTGGTACATTCCGCAAGATTGATTCCACCAACTTCCCCATTTCAAAGACTCTGGCTGCTGCGATTGTGGAACTAGAGCCCAAGGGCCTTCGTGAGCTCCACTGGCATCCTAATGTAAGTTTACAAACAAGTTTATGAGAAGAAACCGGTATTGACCCCATCTAGGCTGAGGAATGGCTTTACTTCCACCAGGGTCACGCTCGTGCCACCGTCTTCATTGGTGACTCCAAGGCCCGCACCTTTGACTTCCAGGCGGGTGACACTGGCGTTTTCCCCGATAATAGCGGTAAGTTTACTCATTCCAAGACCGAGAAAAGATGCTGATTCTTATTAAAGGACACTATATCGAGAACACCTCCGAGACAGAGAAACTTGTTTGGATCGAGCTCTACAAGAGCGATCGCGTCGCTGATATCTCCCTGGCTCAGTGGCTGGCTTTGACTCCTGCTGATACTGTTGCCAATGTCTTGAAGATCGATATCGAAGTGGTCAAGCAGATCAAGAAGGACAAGCAAATTCTTGTTCAGGGCAAGAAATAATTCGATCTCGTGGAATTATCGTGTCTGTACCTTGGCCTGAACGCCTATCAGGCGTTCTCTTCTTAGGCTATCTTACTTTTCTTTCTATATCTATTTGGGACTTCAATCTAATCTGAGGAAATAGTATGTGACCGGCTAGGTCGTTTTTCGAGAAATAATCTCATGCTTACGAGGGCTTGTACATAGGTTGGCGCGATAGACCCAAAAACCTGCCGTAGGTGACCTTGGAAGGGCCATGGGTCGGCCCCACCGCTCTACTAAAATTGGATGTCACTAAAGGCCTTGGGCTTTTACTCTTGAAATACAAGTGATGGTCATGATTCAGTCACAAGAGTTTTGAATGTGAATACATGCGGGTCTTGCCCTCGAAGATACTCAGAAGATCAATCAAGGACAAAAGAATCAGCTGGAACACTTCATCTTGCATCCGCTCATTGTCCAATGTAGGCTCTTTGATACCAGACCAGAATAGACATCTTTCCACTCCCTTCCCATACTCCATCCCACTTTGCATTTCCACAATTAGCAAATAACGAGCTGCTGTTTTCAGATCCGTATATGCTTCGACCTGATCCATGTCCTCTGGTATGCGTAAAGATTCGAGAGTGCGACACAGAGAGAGCTCAACAAACACTAGTCCAAGTGGAAATAGTATCTCGCTTTGGATTAGGGCGGCCGAGTCAGTCGATGGCGACGCTTTCGAATGTCCCTACTGCTTCGAGATAATAATCATTGAAAAGAAAACAGTGTGGGCTCGTCATGTTTTCAGCCACCTGATGCCTTATATATATATGCGTTTTCCCTGATTTTCTAACGCCCCATCGCCTATACGACAGCCGCCGAGAGTGGTGTTTTCACTTACAGAGTCAGCATTTTATTGCAGATGATCTCAACATACGCATAGAGTGTCCCCTCTGTTTATCTTCCATGCCCTCCGGAAGACAATTCGAGAGGCATGTCGGTCGACATCTACGAGAACTGGCGCTCTTTGCTCTGCCACATTTCGATTCAGAAGAGGAAGACTCGGTTACTTCCGATAAGTCCCAGGAAACTGAGATTGGAAGAACACACGAGGCTAAGTATGAAGACGATTCAGATACCCCTGGCCACAGTCAAGGTAATTTACACACTCTCGCAGCTTTTTTCATTTCCTCTTTCCCTTTTTGTATTTTCACTTCGCTAATCAAACGCACATAATAGATAATTTAGCACAGGCGGTTGCAGATAGAGCAAGATTAGGTACCAATCTATCAAGTTCTTCCGACCAGACAGAAGGCGACGAGGGAGGAGGCAGCATAACAGATACCATCCATGCTGAGGATATACGATATTCCCCCACCACAAAGCGCAAGCAAGTCTCTCTCTTACTCCATCCCCGCGCCAGTTGGCAGGTAAGAGTGGATTCCAAGACATACCCTTGGAGGATTCACAGCTAATTATATATTCGTGAATCAAGGACCTGCAGCAAAGGATTCGTCGTGTATTTGAGGACATGCCGATGGAAACAATCAGTCCACACATTGCTCAAGGTAACTATGACTTACTGCAACCAAACGGTCAATTGGTCGATTCGCAACTCTGGGGTATGTTTGCATACTGGCTGGCCGCTGAGAAGTTACAGACAATAGAAATTCGCATACGACATGGCTAGATAGATTGAAGTGATAGGGGAGACCAGAAAAAAGAACTAGTGGTGTCAGGAAGGGCCAATTTGGTCCTACATGAGATTGCTTTTATGACGACCAGCGACAATTGAGAGTAGAAACAGCGAGGCTCGTGGCTGTCGATAAGCTAAGGTCATCATGCCTTTTTCAGGTTCGCAATGAGACAGGCTCTATCTCATTCTATCATGACATACAAAAGCTCAAAGGCATACAAAAAGACAAATAAAAGCAACAGTAAAAGATGCCAAGATGCCAGAATTGATTCAATATCCAACTCCGATAATGCGCTGATGCTGGACAAACACGAAAGACCCATGGCTAATTCCAACTCGACAAAACTCCATACAACCCGCCAACAATGCTCAAATCACACGCGCTCCTCGCGTGATGGACAAAAATATTTATCAATAAAAGAATAACAAAGTATATAGCCTAGTTTTGGATCGCCTTCCTCCGCAATACACCAAGATGCTCCAGTCTGTCCCATGCTTTGTTCATGTCCGAGGACTCGTCGCCCAGTGACGGCCGGAGGTCTAGTCCGTCAAGAGTGTGGAGGGAGCCACTTGTCCCGGCGTAGAGCAAGAGCTCTAACACTCTTCGGCGTAGACGTGTGGCTTGATCGAGATGCCTTACGTACTTCACATCCGCTTGCGGGTCAGCCAGCGGAACTGTGTATGGGTCGTTCACTTCGATGTCTCTATCTGTCTGTGGTTCATCACCCATGGTGGCGCGGTGGGAGATCTGGTCAACATTTCTGAGCTCAGTAAGAGCATCAGAAAGATCCCGGTGGGTTTCTTGGTGTCGGACGACTACTTGATCTTGGGGCTTCAGTTTCCTGCGATCGGCATTACCATTTCCAGTCACTGCCGGAGGATAAAAGCCAATAGTCAACGGATTCCCGCGTAGATCAAGCTTGCGTAAGGAGCATGCAGTTCCTTTTCCGGTTTTTCCTAGCCGACTGAGAATTTGACAGACCCTTCTCATCCTTGAGAGACGGTTGCCGACGATCATCAGTCTGGCAAGACAGTTCATTCCAACCAGTGGCTCAACATCATCAACCGAATTGAAATTCAGATTTAGGACCTTGAGATTCGGAAAACTCAAAGCAAAATCATTCGGGAGAATTTTTAATGTGCACGCAGCTAGGTCAAGAAGTTGAAGTCGTAGTAGCGGAGCAGAAGGGCAGACACTTTGGCGGGAAAGCTTGTTCGAGGACAAGAAGACTTTGCGGACGTCCTTGACAAGTCCCAAATCAATATCCAGCCTGTGTTCAAGGTCCTTTTCTTTGGACGGTGTCTGTTCTCTGAGAGATAGTACCTCGAGATTGTGACAAACCTCAAGGCCAGTGACGGTAGAAAGGTGATTTTGATCGAGGTAGAGAAGGCTCACAGAAGGGAAAGCCCGTGTATCCAAAGTCTCTAACTTATTTTCAGAGAGTTTCAGAGCGCGGAGACTGATAAGGGAAGCAGAGGAGTCAAAACGGCTGATCTGGTTGGCGCTGACATCGAGAGTGGCAAGTGACGGAAGCCATTCGACATTCCGGACAGATGTCAGACAGTTGTGGCTCAAGTCAAGATCACGAAGGCGTGTCAACTCGGACCCTGCAAAATCCACTGTAGCGATAGAGTTGTTGCTGAGCTTGAGGCTTAGCAGGCCATTCAGATCAAGAATCCCGTCAATGTTACGGATCTGATTGTCATTTGCCTTCAATTCCCTGAGATGAATCAAGCTTGCGAAGCCATCCAGCGTCTCAATGTCGTTTCCTGAAACGTCCAAGTACTGCAAGTTGATCATGTGACTCCAGGGAGTCAGGTTGGAGAGGCAGTTTCTAGGGATTCTGAGGGTTCTCAGGGTTGAGGGAATACCACTCAATTGACCAATGTCGTTATCAGAAACATCCAACTCCTCTAGCCGGGGGCAGAATTCGTTCAGCTTATGCAGCGTAATCAATCCCTTCTGGCGCAAGTCAAGACGGCGCACATGTTCCCAATAAGGCTCATATGGTTCCACGTCAGTAATATGCTTGATTAAAGCTTCAGTTGCCAATGCGAACGTCCCATGCACTTGTCGCAAAGAGGAGGGGTTTGTACGCTGAGCCACATAGCTCATTTCAAGGTTCAAGGGTTTATCGCCTTGGTTGACGGTAAAGTCCGCAAGTGGACTGAGGTGGAAGCTGTAGCTTGTGTCGGGCCCGGCACTCTGTAGAGGTATCAAAGATTTCTCTGGCCCAGTTCTGTCGGGCGTTTCTTGAACATGAAGTGAGTTATTCCTGCGGACAAGGCTTTGGTCATCAACAGTCTCCTCGTTCCTCTCCTCAATCCTCGAGATGGGACGTCGAATGAATGGCTGTCCACCGACTGAAGTTTGACGGCCCGTGGGGGGAACGGATGACCGTATTGGGCTATTTTCGCGGTCTGCTGAGGCCGTATCTTCCTCCGGCACAGTTCCGTAGTAGGTGTGGTTCGCATTCAGGTCGGACTGGGTGTTATCAGGCTCGCCACGAGAAGAGGGGCGTGAAACAGGGGGCGATGAGAGATTGACTGTCGCGACATGAGCTTGTTTTCCTTGAGATCGGGGGGTCTTCGAAGACAACGGCTCCTCGCGTTGAGCTTCATGTTTTCCTTGTTCGGAGATTCTCCTTTCTGCGGCCTCGTCCGTGCCCCATGATGTAGATCTTGTCCCAGTGTTAGGAACACTGGACGTGAACCGAGTGAATCTTGATTGGACTGAACTTGCACCGAGGGATGGTTCTCCGTCCCTCGTGTGTGGTCGAACATCAGTTTTCCTTTTGCTCGCAGCCGAAGGATTGCCAGTCTTAATTTGCTCTCGATCAGCTGGGGCGTCGCTCTTTGTGGGAGAACTGAGGCCATGGACTCGCATCATCTCCTGGAGCTCGTCTACACTAAGATCTGGAATATCCCTGAACGGATCATCAGTTTCCTCGGGGGGTTCGGAGATTGGCGCCTGTGGTTCTTCCGCTTCATCTTTCACCCATTGATTCTTCGAGCGGTCATACTTAAAGCCATTGACCTCGTTTGGAATCAGGTGGGCTACAAGATCAGAAGCCAGCATACCCTTGACTTGGGAACTTTGCGAAGAGCCTGTGGGCACGGAGGTGACACTGAAGCCAGACATTTGTGTGTTGATGGTCATCAAATCCTGGGCGATATTTTCAGCCGTGTCATCAGTCATGCCACTAGTCTTTCGTTTCCTCGGTCCGTGAATTCGGATATTCTGTGAGCTCGATTCACCGAGCTCGGTTTGGCCTTCGTCCTGGCCATGACGAGCATGCAGGGACATTTCGCGGTCATTCGGGTCATCTTGCTCCTGATATTTCTTCAGGTGACTCAAGATCATTGGATTCAACTCCTTAACCTCTCTCAACTTGCGAAGATCCGTACCGTCGCGACTCGGAGGGCGAGAAAAGGCTTCCCGAGTGGATTCGTCGTCGCTGAAGTCGTCGGCTTCACTTTCCACGTCAGACTCATGTACGCTTGTCAATCCAGCCGTACCTCGTCCTTTGGATCTAATGAGATCCATGATCTTTGTGGCCTCATTTAAATAATCCTGAGTGGTGATAGATCCTTTTCGTGAGGTATCACTGGTCCCAGTAATTTTCACTAGTGGAACGTCACCATCCAGGGAAAAAGAATCAGAATAATCGTTATTCTCGAAATTGGATTCGGAGAAATCCCTGTGGGGTGCAATATGGCTTTCCCCGTCTGTTCTTATTTGGCTTGGTGTGGGAGTTCGAGGTCGCTGCCTGGATTGAGAAAGGCCCGGCGGAGCAAGATAGTCACTATTTTCGAGCTGTACACCATGTTGCATAAGACTTCGTTGCAACAGTGACATGCTGTCACCGTACTTCTGGGGTGAACCACCATTGGTATTGTGATAGGGCTCGGCGCTGTTGTTTCTCATAATTGTCCGGCGCCGTTTGGGGGTGGGGTCCATGCCGGGGGCCCGAGGCACTCGTTTGATATCAGGGGCCATATTTTCCTTGTTGTTCGAACGAGTCTCATGCTGCACATCATCAAAGAAATCCTGGCGCATCCAGGCAGATGGTTTCCTGGTGAAGCCTGAACTTGCTGATCTGCTGTAATGATACAACCCTTGCTGCGAGGGGCCACGAAGATATTTCTGCCGAGTTGATGATCGTTTGCGCGAAGACGGGCGAGAGCCAAACCCTCCGGCCTCATCGTACACCAATTTGTGCTCGTAGGGGCTGGTGTCTGAGAAATCAAATTTGTCCAACTCGCCACCTCCGAATTGGCTAATTCGATGTACAGCATTACGAGATCCAACACGTTCATTTCGCCTAGGTGAGATCTCCTGCAATGGTTCATGTCTCGCATTTAAGAAGCTGCGGTTTTCCCCTTTTCTTCGCGCTTCTTCTGAAGGCGAAGGGGGCTCCTCTCCCTCTGACGTGTCGCTAAAATTGTCTTCAAATTGACTCATGCGTCGGAGAAGTCTATTATTAGTGAATGTGTCATGGTTGCCGAAGAGCTTCAATGGACTTCCTGATGACGGCATCTTAGCCTCATTCTCTGCTCCAGCTGTGGATGGCCGAACATGAGACGAGGAAGGACGCGGTAGACCAGGTGACGCGGTTTGAGGGGGGTTGAACAAGGGAGAACTTCGGATTTTAGAGTTGGCGAGGGTTGTGGGGGACAAACGGTGCGAAGGAAAGGGCGAAGGGGAGAATCGCCGAGGGAAGGAGCGGTTTCCTCGCCGACTGTTGAAGTCCACCGTCCCCATAGACAGATCTTGGGGTAGAGAATGACTGGTCACGTCTAGCAAGCTGTCATCTCGTGGAGAAGCATCGTGAGGTTCACTATTGTTGTAGAAGAGGAAGCTATCGCTTGCGGGGGAGTCCGGACGACTTTCATTTTTGACAGACAGGCTTTCCAACTTATTGGTGACCTGCTTCAGCGCGGACTTGATGACTTCTGAAGCCCCGTTGCCATCAACGGTGTTATTCCGGGAG